CATTCGCACCCGTATCCGGCTGCTACACGACAATCTCCGGAAGCCGCTTGTATTCATGGACCTCATGTAGACATATAGACACGTACGTATAGATCTATATATTCGCATGTATGCAAGTGTATACATAATTTCGTACAACCCCCTATGTCGTAGTCTTTCATACGAACGGTCCTATATCTTACGTTAGGTATGCGAACATCGCGTATCTCTCGATACTTGTCAGGAGTAAGTCGGTACAACTGTTGAACAACAGAATCTGCAGGAGATACGAGTACATCCCGGGGATCGATCGGACGGAAAACAGGTACGTTTATAGGCCTCGTGAACACGCCCTCCATGGTATGTGGATCGACGGCAGAGTGCTCAGTGGCTTCATCCCACATACTGTACAACTCCTCCTTATCTAGAAACGCACCCATACACACAAAAAAAAGCCAGTAACAAGAGCACAGGAGAATACATATATATATATATATATATATATGTATACATCTGCGTCAGGGGAAGCAGTGGCACCGCCATCGAACGAGTGCGGCTTTTGACGGCAGCAGCCACAGAGGAACGCATCATAGGGCACTTCTTACTACAGGAGCCGCTACACACATGGAGAGTAATATACATACATATATATATATATATATATATATACACTATGTTTACACACACATATTTACAAGTGTATACTCAAAGACGTGTGTACATATGGCTACATGCATACGTGTGTACACATGTACGAGCCTATGTAACCTCAGCGATACTGGCGCTGGCATCAGGGCAGTGCCACACTGAACGGCAGCAGCCGGAGAGCAACACAGCATACTGCAGTCGGCACTGCAGGAGACGCTACAGAATTACACATAAATATATATATATATACATACGTATATATCCGTACATACCTATACACTGCACTCCCGGCCAACCCACAGTATAGGATCCCTGCAGCAAAAGAGACTGCAGAAAGAAGAGCAAAGAGAAAGAGAGAAAGACGGATATACAGATGGAGAAGAAAGAAATGACAAAGAGATAGAGAGAGAAAAAGAACGCAAAAGATGAGACAGAGAGGAAGAGGAAGAGAGACCGTCGTGGGGCCGAAGAAGAAGCAGATGACGAGGAGCAGCGGGCGCAACATTGCCCGGAGGAGAATGCTAAAGAACAGTATCAGGAGCTGAAGCAGCAGTAGCAGGAGAGAACAAACAGCAGAGAAGAACAGCAGACGACCGGCAGCTGAAGAAATACGAGCAGCAGCAGCAGCAGAGGCGACAAACCCTGAAGCGCAGGAGCAGCAGCAACAAGGAAGATGCAGAACTAGTACAGACCTTTCAAAAAAAAAATTCGACAGGTGGTATACCGCGTGTCGGCTAACAAACACCGGCCGATTCTTCGAAGCACCCGTTGTCGTATGTGGCTTGCAAAAGTTAAAAAAAAAGCATTGACGCGGACGTACTCAAAGTAACACGTTGATGAGTGTGCCTGTACTCGAGGCACATAAGCATATTTCATAACACAGCCTATCCCCATGCGATCTGGGTTTGCAGAGAGATACACATGCTGGTCAGCTGATTCCTCTACACACATACCTGTAAACACATATTATATATATATATACATATACGCACATGTATCTGTGCAAATGTATATATGTGTACTGCGTCGACGTGTGCAGTCGCCCACGCTCGAAGCTGCTCAGCACGTATATGTATCTATGTATGTATATATACATATATATATTATATGTATATAAATGTATATACACACATATCTATATATATACATGCAGACCGCACCTGTCGCTATTTTCTGCTGTGTGTTAGTAAGTGGAGCAGCCACGGTTCCGCACCTGTTTCTGCGGCTTAAGGAACAACGGACACAGTGTAGGCACACAGATGAAATGGGAAAAGTGTATTACAGAAGGTTTGTTGTGTACGGAAGGAATGCGTCTCCCATCGTCGTCGCGCGCTCTCGGCATTCGTTTTTCTCACGGTTCGAGCCCCATCATCTGTTCGCAGCACGCGAACCTATATATCTATATATATATATATGTATAAGGAGCTGGCGATGCCTAGTGGCGGACAAATCCGTTACGCCTTGCAATTTGATCGGTAGCACCGGTGAAACTGTTCTATGTGAGACCATGTGGTGCTATCAACGCTTCAACCCAACTCTCTCTCTCTCTCTCTCTCTCTCTATATATATATATATATATATATATATATATATATATATATATATATATATATATATATATGCACGCCGTATGTATGTACTTGTATATATATGCGAATCAATCTGTAGTGCGAGAGCGTCCCAGCTATATATTCTGTAGCAGAGGAAGTTTTTCACCACGTGCCATACTATACAAAAAGGAACGCACAGTGCAAGTCCACATGCTCTGCACACTTTATCATTATTCCGAACAGCGTGCGACCTCACTAGGACTCCCACACATATATGTATATACATATATATATATATATATATATATATATTCGAACAGTATGAGAGCATCTCAACTATACAGTATATATGAGTACTACTTTACTACTGATTACCTAGAAAAGAGTAAGACAGGCTTACTGAACGGCACAAGTGTTGACAGCGCTCCTGACGATTCCTTGGCAAGGCTCCTGTATACATTTACTCAATGTAGCAGACGAGCTCGTTACTAGTATTCGTAGACTCCCTACCCGTATCTGACCTAACACACAACAGAGTTGCTTCTGAGATATTTAAGGTGGAATTAGATGGGGTACAGGCTTGCACATGCTATTTCCTGTCTTGCCCAGCAGCGTACGCCTTCAATAAGGCAGCTCCATATGGGCAGCATATAGCACAGAAGCATTCTCCTCTAATTTCTATAGCAGAGAAGCTCTCGTCTTTCTTCGCGTACAGAACGCAAACGTTATAGCCTTACTTATGTTGTACAGTTGTATCATTTTGTCCGCCAGCACATGCTTCAAGGGAGCCTCGGTTCGTAGCCTAATAAGGTTATTAGCGGTATCGGCGTCCGCTGCCAAAATTTGTCGGAATTCGTGTACATTGGCTGGCACGCAGGCAGAACAAGAAACGAACAGTGGAGATGTCTATCAAGAAAAAGAGACGAAAAATGATGGGTGTTTCACACGGCTTATGCGCCTCCTCATGTACGCGCATATGAACGTGCACACATATATACATACGTTTAAATAGTTACACATACACGTGTATAACAAGGAGGAGACAGATGAAAAGGTACTTCTCCGGGCGCCTTACACTGCTGCGCCTGTACGCATACCTTATACGGATACTGAACTATTCACACATTATATGCGAGCGCGAAGACGGAAAGCGGACAAATATCACGCGCACGCGCGTGACATACATTTATTGAGGACTTTATATCAGTTCGCGTGCGTACGGCTGAAGAGAATGCGGAGACACAACGCATATATGCTGCTTAGGATCCACTCATTGGTGTCTCTTCACATACTTATATATACGCGTGGTCGGGAAGGGGTAACCAGTGCGCCCATGCCCCCAGGAGCTGCTAATACAGGATCCTTCATTCCTATCTTCACAAATGCGTAAGTACGTGAGAAGGCAAAAGGGGAGCTACGTGCTTTATTGGAGAGCACCTCAGTCTGCGTAGGGCTCTACGGAGGAGGACGTCCGGGTTACTCGCCAAGTAGCGGTAAACGCGGGGAATGTATGAATATCTACGTGCAGAGTTGCGTGTACCATGCGCCCGTCTTTGACTGCGAAGAAATACAATACGAATAGAGAAATTTATACGTCTAAAGGAAGCCACCACGCACACACGCATACACTAGCGCAGACGCAGTGGGGAACGCTGCACACAATAATATATGTATATTTGTAGGCACTTACACATATGCACGCAGACCCGGGTCTTCGTAAAAGGAGGCGGAGTACTAAGAAGATGTATATATATATATATATATATATGTATATATATTCATATACAGAACAGATATTATTCTTCAGGCGAGGCGCAGGGAGGGCGAGACAAAACAGAACTCACCCGGAGGTTGGTCTTGTTCGAGTGGCTGCAAGCAGACAAACAGAAAAATCACAGACACACCGCTTCCCGTGCAATACTTATAGACTCAAAATACAAAAACAGCATAGGGGTGCATGCACCAGGACGTCACCACTTAGCCCAACAACGCACTGTCTTCCGTGCAAAGATTCATTTGCACCAGATACACGCTGTGCTTCCGAGTCTATCAGCATGCGGCTTGAAGACAAGGGCAATAGCGACAGAGCGCTGTAAGGGACACAGTATGTCGCATTCGCGGGATTCAGGGCACGAGTTCGATGCGTCAGCAAGAAGTACGCAGGCATACACTTCCTGTTCCTCACTGTGCCTTCTGAAAAACAAGTACGCAGGACTGCACCTCTCTTCCTCTCCGTATGCCGACCACAAGGGTTACACGCAGGAATGCGTGTCTATCTCTGGGCCGGGGTCTGGGCGGGTACGAGGCATACATCTACATTGCTGTGGAGTCTCCGAATCTTTTTCGTAGTATATAAAGATCGTGCGAGGTACGTGGAAGCATGTGTACTCGCATATACTGTAGGTTGCGGCCGTCAGACGTAAAATTCGACATAGGAAGCGACATGTTACACAAAAAAAGTTCCGTGCGCCTACTACTGGAGCAAATCAACAAGCAGGGCTGCTTTGCATGCTGCGCGCTATATGCACCTTACGACACTATGACATTCGAACAAACGATGAGAAGTCGTCGCGGGAATGTATGAATTTATGTCGGAATAGGTACATGTGTGCGTTTCACAGGACTATGCACCTACCGATGATATGACGTGCGAGACGACAGCGAGGCGTCACCGCACGGAAAGGCGTACACAAGGGAACATATATACATATACATGGCATATATGGCTGTACACCTCTCGAAAAATTCTGTGCGAGCCGGTACGAAGAGGCCAACATAGGAATGTATATGCATATGTATATATATACATCCATATATATGTATATGCATATACGTGTATACGTACATGTGTATATATGTATATATATATATATATGCGTATATGTGACTACTTGTCGCCTTGTGGGAGGATTCATAGATTCTGCGCAACCTACATCTCCAGGATTTTCCGTCTCCAGATCATGTAAAAATACAATCTCAAAGACCGTCTATGCATTCTTATGTTCGACACGCTGGTCACTTTATAAGCGCGTTGCACATGGACTCCGCGATCCTCTGCACAGCCGTATACGAAGCGCTGAGGTTCCTGGCGACAGCACTACTAATTCAACCACTGTCGGTTTAGCTGCGCACACATTTGGGACGTGTATACGACCCGTACACACTCAACCTCAACACGAGTGCCCGCAACGTCCCACCACCTCCAGAGAGCTCTATATGTTATTCTGGTGATGTATGAGAGCTGTGCGGCCAGCACGAGCAGTGCGTTGTACATCTGCAGGAGGCTATTGGCTCGCACATACTATTCACAGTCTCTTCCCGTATTCTTTGTACAAGCATGCATACATATCTATATATAAAGTGTAGGAGGGCTGTGCAGGAGCGTTGCAATGTTTCGCGTATCGACCTGCTGCGACGAGAAACGCAAAACCGGGAGAATATGTATGTAGGGCGTAATCTTTGCAAGATATTTAGCTGGCCACTCATATGCTGAGAGAATTCTGTACAACGCCATGCTGTTGTGAGGTGACAGTAGTGCTGTATAGTCGGGAGAAGACTTCGCAAACCGAGTCTTGCCGCTGCCCTGGCTGAAGGCGTTTCCGGCAGACCGTAGGTACAGGGCGATAAGAGGTAGAGCGCTTACAGTCTAGCGTGATGCGGGTAAGAGCGCTACATACACATAAAGACTATGATACGGAGAAACAATGTCCAGACTAGCATATATATATCCACATGTACGCGGACATACGTGTACGCATCCACACAGACGTCGTGTTCTAGTAGCAGCGACGCAGTTGGACAAGAGCTCGGTGGACGTGTGAAGACGAGCACGATTACATAGTGTGTGTGTACCTAAGCGAAGTTAGCTACTTACCTCCTCAATCCAGCCCAACAGCTCCTCTTGCCAATGCTCTTGGTTCTTATCTTTCTCTCGGAAGAGCCTCAACAAGACGACTTGAGGCTGTTGTTCCGTTTGCGAGCCCGCACGAGCAACGAGCAGCTTCGCTAGAAGTTTCCAGCCGTGGCTCGGGGCGAGGAGTGAGCGTGGCTCGCTAATCTCGCGTTTTCTCAAGGCCTCCCAGGAGCTTTCTACAAGGCGTACACGACGCCGACCTGTACATACGTACGAGCTGCTCCACGTTGGGTAGGCGTGCACGGCTCGCGATCCTACTTCTATCGATCGAGTTTCTGAATCAACTACAAAGACAGGATGATACATTCCTCCAGGGAAAATGAGATCCAGCTGGTCCTGTGAATGCAGATATACATTGTCTGGGTGAAGTCGTTGAAACTCGTCCTCTCTTTGGAGCTGTATCTGCTCCGGCGCATCCGGGTCAGGCTTCCCTGCAGCAGAACTTCTCGTCAGATACAGACGGCTCGTCGCCGGTACCATTGCCGCCAGCAGGTCTACCACAGCAGCAAGGCGCGTTATAATTTCCGGCTTCCTGCCGTCATTCCCTGCCTGCTTGGTGGTCTTATCTGCTACCATTATTACCGCTGGCAACGCGGCCTTGGTCGCCACTGGCAATGCTGCGAGCGACGCGTCATCGAGGCTCACGTCTGCGCATGTGTAGTTCGTCCCGCGGCCTCGGGGCTGCAAAGTAACACAGCCAGACCCAGTCAGTATAGACATATGCTTCACATTGACAAACACAGCAAACCGAAGAGGAACGAAGACGCTATGCTAACGGAAAGAAAGACGCACCCACCCGCACGCACAACGAAGACCCAACGACCCAGAGAAGTAGACTTAACGACGCACCCAGCCGACCGCCGAAGAAGTGCGTTTGAGTGCAGAGATGACTGCCGGTCAACGACGGGCCAGAGACAGGGGGCAGCAATGCTGGAGAGGCGCACAGATAGGGGCAGGTCAAACCCGCCGAACAATCTTGCACTTGCCCAGCGCGGACTTGCCTGTCTGTGCTGTGCACTGCGAGCACGCAGGCCGCCCAAGCGGTTTCGCGCTGGCAAAAGCAGGCGGGCACAGATAGAGGTCTGCATGAACCACGAAACGAGTTGACTGTTCAAGACTAACAAGAGCAAGACTATTTCTCTAGCAGAGGCCCTGGTCTACACTTTACTGATTAGAGTGGTGCAAGACGCCGTCCCAGGCAGCACCCAATCGGCTAGGCGCTCGCGCTATGTACTCTTCGTAGAACATTTCGGTCTACGATGGGCGGCTGATGCAGTTCCTGCGCGGGTATGTCTCCCCCTCCCGAGTAACGCCGCTGTGGGAGGGCACATATCACGTTCGAGGCAGAAGCGGACAGGCAGTTTCGAGACCCCACGCGAAGCTTGGCTTCCTGGGCGCTAGTTACGCGTCCTGCTCCACCTGTGGACACAAAGGGATCCATCTCGCGAAATCCCACGCAGTGTAAGGAACCGCAACTGTAGTTCTGGAGGTTCTTCGAGCTTTGCGTCGAGCCAAAGCACCAGACTTCACTCATTCTGTACCTGTAAAGAGAGGGATTGCATATAAATCTCTTGTCAGTCGTCAGTATGCGCCGATTGCCACAATGTCCCACATTCACTACTTGCACAAATATCTTGACAGAGACCTTACGCTTTTTCCGACGAAAAGGGCTGAAGTGCGTAGATCTCTGATAATCGCATCGTCACCAAGTGCATCAAGGCCACGCGGAAGAGATTCTTGGGACGGATCCGGCTTCAGCAGCAATTGCCACCCACCGCTGGACGACAAGATCAGCTTTTGCGTTTTGGCCACGTTGAAGACATGACTCAGCTTCCTCAGCACAGACTTCACACGCGTGTACGCGCTGTCTTCTCCGACGACTGATAACGCCAAGCGTTTTTTCGTGCATGTGTCCCCTGTCCTGGAAAACAGAAATAGTGTCGTCCAATCTCCGCGCAGTTCATACACTACGCGTCCCCAAGGGGGTACCGCAATCCACGTGATACAGACAAACTCTGGGCTCTGGGTGTACCTCTCGCAATTCCGCTAGCCCTACACAGAATTCGTGCAAGTAACGCTACAAGCTATCACATGCTGCCGGGACGTCGCGACAGCAACTCAGCCTCAGCCGCAGTAAGCTCCACTTCCTGAATGCATGCAGACGTACTTGCGACACTAGATTGGAAGTAAAGAGTGATATAAAAGGACGCTACTACTCCCTGAATAACTGTACACACTTGTTGATACGACTGCATGTAGCCGCCTATGTTGGAATTATGTCTGTTTACCGTTGACGCAGCCACTGTCGCCGCACCTCAGCAGGTGAGTGCGCATTAGTGGCTTTGAGTCGCGGTTTCCTGGCGCTCTGCTGCCTACCACAGGCCGTCGCAGCGCAGACAGCCCAGACCGTGCGTCTGCTATAGGACCAGTGTGGCGTCCGTGGTACGTCCATCAGAATTGAAAATAGTGTGCAACCCGCTTAGAGAACTACCATATGCACACGGCGTCCTCGGCCGCTTTGCCCGGGTAGGGCAGGTGGCTGTGGCATGTACTGCTGCATCCTCTTGGGTTGCAGTTCTGCTCGGTGTCTTCAGAAAGAAGAGCGTGGACGTGATTTCCAGTGCCTACAGCTACACCACTGGGGAGGGTCTAAGTGGACTTACTGTTTCAGGTAATAGATGACCGCGGATGTGATGTCGGGACCTCGTCTCTTGTGTAGCCGCAGCACTTTTCGTGGTCGTCTTCTGCGAGAGAAATTTCAAACGAGCCACATGCAGGTTTCGTATGTGATCCCTAAGTACCGACGACTGTCTCTCCATTGTCGTTCCGGACAGCCGGACAACACGCATACGACAAGAACACTTGAACGCATACTCAGCCCCTTCTTGTAGAGACACTGGGCTGGGTAGACCTTTTCCGTGCAGTGAGCTCTTTTTTTCGACGGTAGCATGCAGCTTGCTGAGGCGCGCTTTCTGCCGTGGACACAACCCTAACACCGAGGCTATAGAGAAACTCAGCAGCCACCAGTCCGCCGCAGACTACGGTATATTGTTATGGACCAACAAGGACGAGATGTACCAACCCTGCCGTAGCCTCGACACGCCCCGTATGTAGCACTTGATCAGCGCAAAAACCACCGAATAATCGCAAGACCCTCGTGCAAGGAGACACTCCAGGACGTCTTGCAAGGTTGAGAATGCACTGTGAAGAGGACACTACAGTGCTCTTACAGAGAGAGGGACCCTGGGTAGTAAGAAACAGGTGCGGTCCCTGCTTGTACGCGCTGGCGGGGCGCAACCGAGAGGCTGGCGCCGTTGGGGTGGGGTGGGGAGTCGCGTGCGTGTACCTGTGCACACTTACGCACGGTATGTATGCCGTTTCCAGCCCGCTTTGGATTCGATGTACACACTGCCCTCATGTTTTTCTCCTGACTCAAAGGACTCCCGCCTATGCAGCACATGGCAAGACACATTACTCGCCACATGCTCAGTCGTGGAAGACGTGCCAGTGTCACTTGTGTGTCTCGGATCCCGCGACGGCTTGGGCCTGTGAGCGACGGGTGTGCCAGCGATCTAGCCACGTGGAAACCTGCCCCGCAGCATGTCGCATCTTGTTCTCGGTACTGCACGCGCCATGCCTGGTCTTCTTGGAAACGTATGCAGAAGGCAAACTCACGTGCATCCGTTCTCCGTCATAGTAGTGTAGTGCGTCACAACAGTCTTCTTTTGAACAGCAAGCTCGTGTTGGGTCAGACACATACACCACTGCAAGCGCACTTCGCGCACGCTGCAAGCGGTGCGCTGGCTCCGCGGGACCCTCGTCTCGTGCGTTATAATATCTCTGGTCTTGTTCCACCGCAGCCCGTCTCCTGCCAGTGTAGACGCAGAATGGCGCGCCGTGGGTGGCGCTGTCACGTGCAGTGTGTTGGGGTCTACGTCTGACGTGAAAGTTTCAGCAGGTGCTGTGCAGCTCTTTCGGAACTGCACGTAAGTGCTGTTCAGCTCTTCCGAAACTGCATGTAACCCGACCGTCTGGAAGCGCGGCCGGTGTGCTTTGGAAACACGAAGGGACCTGTTCATCGCGCTCGAAGACATACAGCGTCTGAAGAAGAGAGGATGAGCTTAGTTGCTGTCTGGTACGCCAAGCGTTGTAGAGTACTTACATCCCATCCGGGGCATCGGCTACAAATTCATCTTCGGTGGCCGACACGTCAGCGACTGGAAGCTCCGCGACGGCCTCCACCTCCCTTTCTGCTGCTTCTTCTGCCGTCGCGTCGCCCGCGCGCACCATATTGTCGATTGCCAGCGTCCATACCAGGACGCACACGCAGAGGTAGTACTTGCTTTCCTTCATCCTGTATGTGAAACGTGTGGTGCGGTGTTGTGTCAGGTCTAAGAATAGTGGACTGCGCTAGTGTCAACACACGGAAAGGCCCGGCGGACAAGAAATGAGGATCCTCGAGTCGTAACATACGTATCGCCACAACCCTGCACTACATAAACGCTACGTGACACCGCATATGCAGCCACTCTTGCGTGGCTTACTCTAGCGAAGCACAACGACTTCCCTTCTAAAGGCAGGCAACTGCAGAAGGAGTGACAAATTGCGAGAACAAAAGTGGCGGACCTGTAGATCGTGTAACATTTGTCAAGGCTGTGCACCATTCTGGGGATCGGCTCCGGATCTGTACGTGCTTGGCTGTCTAGCTAGGGTCCGAGACTGCCACCGATCTAGTAGCTACACGAGCACGTGACCGAACAACCGGCGGCTCGCGAAGGAGCTAGCTGCTCGTGGAGCTCGGGAAAGCCACTGCGCCGTCCGGGACTTGCCTTGCCCACCCCTCGCGTGTAGCGCTCGCTGTGGTAGGGCTGCGGGTCGGTGCCCTCCCCGTATTTGAAGCTGCAGCAGTTCGGCACGCAAAGTTCGATGTATCAGCCACTTCACTCTACCGATAAAGGAGACGAGACACGCTGCGAAGGACGATGTCCACTCAGGCGTTAGGGCGGCCGCTGAAAGGAGACGGCTCCGTATATCTGTGACGGGCTAGCTGCTAATCAGTTGAACTCGTCGCACGCGTGTGTGGGGCAGCATACAAACAAGCTTACGCCGAAGGAAAGAGGAGCCGGCTAGAGGCGCGCACGGAGGGATAGCTTGTGATAACGTCGTGTCGGCGGGGCTGTCGGAGACATTAGAGACGCCCTACAACGTCGAAAGGAAGCCCTAAAAGGCAGAAAGCGCTTGTGTGTGCGGCACGGTGCCGACTCGGTAGGAAACGTCAGACGACCAGAGATAACGGGAGAAACAAGCTGCTCCTGCCACAGCAACTCGAGTAACTGTGCACTCCCACCAAGGCGCAGCGTGATGGTGCGAGCAGCAGATAAACTGTGAATGGTGAACGGCCGCGGCAACTAGGCACGCGGCGCTAGACAGGTTTTCGCAGGGGGCAGCTGGCAGGATATTCAAGAGCTACGTGGCTTGCAAAGTCAAGTTTGCCATGTCGTAATACCCAACATCCCGCTCCGAAGAGCTGCATGACTAGCAGGGCACAGCCGTGTGCAATGGTTCTCACTGCATCAGGCAGCGGACGACGCGGGACGGACGGACAACGAAGATTACCGTGGCTCCACATTACTATGAAGAAAATTAGTTCCGGCGGCTGCAGGACTGACATTTGGACAGCGCGAAGCAGGGTCAAGCGGACAAACCTCAAGACGGTACTTCAGAGCCATCTTCAACATTCGAGTGACACCGGGCGGGATGAAATTTCTCTGTCCTTCATTTGGGTGTGGACTTCTTGGCATTTCTGAATACCTTGGGAAGCTCTATATTTCCGTTGAATGCTCTACGTGGCTGTGCCAGGCTAAAAGTATCCTCTGCGTGTTAAAGGTCTATATCATTTTTTGCGGCGCGCTGCTGCTGCAGTACGAGCTGACGGGAGGTCAACGACCGCAAAGGGGCCGTGCACTCCGACCGACAGTGTACACATGCCGCACACCAGCCGTGCTACGAACCAATTACACTTTTTCTTCACCCTCCTGGTATCTGAAATGTGCGTCATACACTCCGCCTCTTCCCGCGTACATTCTGCATGTACGCCTGCCGCGCCAGTAATAGCATCTTTGCTGTATACTTTAAGGGATATCTGGCGCTCACGCCCGCCTCCGTGCCACGTTGTGGTAATTCTGGTCTTTTGCTTTTGTGCTAGCTTTGCACTAGCGCTGCCAGGTGGAACTTTGTCGAGCGTAATACGTTACTTTTCTGCTGTGTCGCCCAGAGCAGCAACGCACACCTAAGTGTGACGACAACGTGAGCTTGAAGGCGGCTCCGTGTCTCGGGAGCCATATCGACATCAAGGGAACGCGCCATCAGCTGCTGACAGGCCGTTTCCTTTTGCGTCCACAGAATGCGCGGGTATTCCATGTGATTCGGCTCATTTGCGGACATCGGTGCGTATGGCCCGTTACAGGTGCCGCCACGCTCTGCAACGGAAGAGCTGCTGTCCGTGTTGGTTATAACAGCAGAGATCTCTGGTGCGAACCGCGTCAAGCCACCAGTTACAGCGTTGATCTTAAGTGGCCGTGGAGGGATTGCCCCGACGTAGATACATTGGGAGGCGGTGGACACGAGAAACAGCCAACTGTGCTTGTTAACTAGAATAACAGCAAGCCTCTCTGACCAGTATGGTGTCAAGCCACCATTTGCAGTGAAACATGGTCCCGGATACTCTGTCAACAGCAAGGGGCAGCACGGAGTTTGCCTTGGCGTACATACACTGGCAGCCGCGGGACAGGAAAACAGCCGACTGTGCTTGTTAACCAGGACTGCACCAGAAGCTTTATACAGATATGCCGTCGAGAGACCAGTGGCAGTGAATCGTGGACCCAGGTCCTTAAACGAGCGTGCAAGGTTTGCTCCGGCGTAGATACACTTGGAGCAAGGGGACAGGAGAGAAAGGGACGAGTCTTGAGCCGCCTGGCCAAGAACTAAAGCCCTTCGCAGAGAGAATAAGGGAAACCTGCCTATCCGTATCAGGGAGAATGACGGTAAAAGCTTCGTGCGTTGCTGCAGCGCCTCAGGGCGCATGCCGGCACGTAGTCGTACCGCGTGACTGCGGCGAAAGCTGCATAGAGGTAGTTCACTGCGGCCATGCCAGGCCACAAATACACGGACTAAACGTAATTTCTCGTGTGGCGCCCATCGCCGGTGCCTCTTACTAAAACGTACTTCACGCCCGCTTGTTAACGTTTTAGTGCGCTGCGTGAGATTCCTCTTTGCAATCCCGTTGGCAGGTCAGGGCTTTGCACAAAGCCGCCGCTGTCCCTTACAGATTACCTTAGGATTGCAGCCGGAGACTTAGTCCCGCAAATCATCTAGAGTCATGCGGTAGCACTGAGGGCACCCCCGGGAGTTCTCGCCAGGCTGAATCCATGGTATTCTTAGGGCAGCAAAGGCGCGCCTTTTCGAAAAGCAAACCGTTTCTTCGTCGCGGTGAATCACGGATACGCGGAACGGCACTTCTGACGGCGTCCTGCACATTCACTACCCTCTGCGGTGGACACCGCAGATTCAGGCAATACGTCTACGTGTATCAGTGGCGTGAAACGATGGGGCAATGGCAGCCGGCGTATACGCTACGTACGGCGTCTGTAAAAGCTGCATTCCCCACCGCCGTTGCCGTGCGCGTGAGGCCCGCTCCGATCGCCGCGTGGACGACACTACGTACACATCAACAAAGAAGTTTGGCTCTGCCGTACACTGGCTCCTAGCGCGCTGCACGAGCACACTACGGACATGCTTAATCCGTCATACAATGTGCAGCGCGGTGTACAGCTGTGATCACGCGAACGTGGAAGCGGGGGACCTGGGAGCATATGCAAGGCAGCGGCCTCATTGGGTTGCACTGGCAATGTCATTTAGACACCAGCTGACAGCAGACCAACCACGGAGCGCCCCCACGGAGGCGGCAGCCTGTCGCACAGCCGTAAAAAACATGGGTAGCGCGTAACGAGCGTTGGGTCGCAGCTGAACGGCAGTTAGGGAAGGCTTCCTGCGACAAGCGTAAAGTGTTCTGCAGATCAAGCTGCGTGGCCTGCGCTGGCGCTTTGAGCTTTCCTTGTAATACGCGGGCGCAGCCGCAGCTAGGGGCTGTCAGTTGTGATCTTCTAAAGGAACGCGGAACTTCACCGCGCCGAGTTTTCCGTTCTTCGTCCGGTGGAAGACATTCTGTAGCTTCTTTGCCGAAATGGTTTGTGCCTTTCGAAGAGGAACAACAGCCTCTACAGCTTCTTCATCTACAGGTTCACTGCAGGCGACTCACGTGAGGAGGTACCAGCCTTTTCCCGAATTTCCAGACCCTCGGTGCTGCAGCGGTGACGCTAGGGCCGCCGCCGACCTTTTACCCGTCTTTTGCGTTCTCTTCTTCAAGAGTTCCTTCTCCGTGCAGGCGGACGTAGCGGGTGGATTGCAGGGTTGTGCAGCGCAGACATCTCAGCAGATACTGACTCAATAGACATTAGCGCCTGTAGCTGCGAATGCTGTCGTCACCGCAGTCGTTTCGATGGCTAATACTGGCACTGTGTTACAAAGCGCAGCTCCCGCGTTGATACCTCACGTTAGACTCAGCGACATCAGACCCGTCGTAGAGACGCCGCTTTCCATATCCCTCCTCACTGCGCAGTCTTGGGCAGAAGGGCGACCTCGGCTGAACTTCCAACTTACTGAGACATAGCAACGACAAAAGCAGCGCCGAGCGCCGCCCCGTCGTTCTTTTGCAAGCATTCAAACACGTACGCACGGGCAGACGTACTCCGCAGACGCTTGGCACTGCACTTTGCGTGTTCCTTTTCGCCGGTTCCAGCAATGTGGCAATGTCTGTTTGGCGGCTTCCGAGCTAGTCTTCGTTTTCTTTGGCCGTGGGGCTTGCAAATGCGGGATCTTTCTCAGAGGTGTCAGTGAGATCGCAGCCGAACGGTGTCTTCTTCAGCAGCGAATATCTGCGTGTATGTAACGCGGGGGCGACGTACCCGCAGCAGCTGACGTGCAACCTGCCGTTGCTGTTTCAAGCGCTAAACTCGCGCCCTACTGAGCGGCATTTGCGTCCTTCGTTCACGTCATGCTCAGGCCTGAATGAGTATATTGCGATCCGCTTCTGCCACAAGCGGGCAAGGCGGTTTACTTGGTTATGTAGCGTCCCATGCTTCAGCCACTGCTCCGTGAGTCACGTGACAGCCTGCAGGATACGCCTGTGTGCGGCACGCTACGGAGGGCTGCAATCCTGCGTGAGCCAAGTATGCGCACCTATGTATCATTGCGTGATTGAAAATGAACGCCGGCAGGCTGGGATACAGGCGACCAACGCCTTCGGAGATGCACATTGCAACCGATGGACGCGCCGACAATCAACTGGCTAAGGGGCTCTTGAGGGCTCTCAAAAATTCCCAGTAAGAGACAAATGCGCTGGCATAAACTACGCAACAGTTTCCTCCCTATGAGGCGCGCAACGGCGTGATCAACGCGCGAATCTGCAGAGTCTACCATGAACCATGCGCCAGCAGGGGCTGACAAACCGGTTTCACGCAGAGGAGGTCCCGACCGTCCATTTGTGGCATTACGTTTTCGCCGTTCACTGACAGTACTCTCGTCAAAAAATGTGACATTCCAGCAAGGGCGCGGTACTGTGTTAGCAGCGCGGAATTCAACGAAAAAAGCAGTCGGCAAGGAGAATATGTAGGGCCCTGCTTCTCCGCGCGCTGTGCGCGTGCATGCACAAGTACACGTATACTTATGTATGTACATATATATATGCGGGTATGTAGATTCGTACATATGGTGGTACCAGCTACTGCAAAATGCAACTGGGTGTTTACACAAAAGTATATTTTTCTACATGTTGGTACATTTGCGGTTTTAGAGGCAGTGCTCTAGAGGATCCCACTCTCAATATATTGGACGCAGGCTCATATAACACTTACGAAGTGTTCCAATCGCCGTTTGTTTTGCACTTCTGACAGTGCTGAGCCTTCTTCAGTCTGTTGTTTTGACGGGCCACATCCCGTGTCCGTCTGCCGTGAAGACATACATGTATACCTATATGCACATGTATATGTATATATATATATATATATATATATATATATATATATGTAAGAGTGGACCTCCACACAAGCACAGCATAGAAAAATGGATTGCAGTGCATGTGGCACACAACGCGCGCACGGGCTTCTTCCGGATTTTGCTGGGTTTTCGAGAAAAGCAAAGGCAGTTCGTCCCTTGCATGTGCGTCTCCGAGGAAACTGATGAGCATACCTGCCTCCGCCGGGCGCAGCAACAAGTCGTTGGCCCGATCTGTGGGCTCTTCTCAGTTGCAGACACGCTTGCTGCCGCAGCCTCCGCACGCTGCGGAAGCGTCACTACACTATTACTAGTAGTGGACCTGCAGGTGAGACCGTCCCGTATAGAATGACGGCTAGCCCTAAAGTTCTCGTATATTTCTAGCTCTACGTGCTGCTGCAACTGCGACTTCTATACTCGTACTAGTCCCCGTGGCCGCATGAGCCCTGTGTATCGAGGCTCTTCACATGGAAGCTGCTGCGCTTCGCTTCGTAAGACTGTGCCGGTAGTAGCCGTAAAACTGACTGCTGTGACGTCAACGCTGTGTTGCTACCAGAGATGTAGTGGAAGCCTAAACAACAGAACCAGCAACAAGTCTTGTTGCCGCAGATATTGGTGCGACAGCTCTGCTGCATCTGACAGGCAAAGTAGCAGCCGGGAAGGTATCTGCGTGATGTCAAACCAGGTGTCCAGCTGAAAAACGTAGAGGTAGTAGAAGCAACAGCACCCGCAGCAAGAAATGTCGCTGCCACAAACCTTGCTGCGCCGGCTCTGGCAAATCTGGGAGCGACAGTGGCAGCTGAACGTATTTTCATTCGTGTTACAATCAGGCCCACTTAGCTAACGTCAAGACGGGCACGCAAGTGCCAGTATTAGAAGGGAATAAATGCAACAGCAGCAGCAGCAGATCTTCCGTCCAAAGACCTTGCTACGACAAATCTGGCAGGTCTGGTAGCGACAGTAGCAGCTAAATATATATTCATATGTACTAGCCGTCACACGGGCTCCGCTGACGCCAACATTGAGGTGCAGCAGGATTGGTAGAGGCAGAACGAACAACAGCAGCAGGGGCACGCCTTGCTGCGTCAACAGCCCGGGTGAACTTGGCACCGAGTGTAGCAGTTGAACATATGTTCTTGCCTGCAGCCGTCACCACGAATTCCGTCCTTGGTCGTGGGCAGCAAGCAGAAGTGGGTCAGCGAAAGGACGCCCAGGAGGCAGCACAAGCGTAGAAGGAGACTGTGTGAACACGGGAAGAAAATTCCGGTTTTCGTACAACGACTCAGCGTATAAATCAGAGTACACGATAGTTGCTAGAACACCAGCAGTCGTGGGAAACAATACTTTTGAAATATCCTCTTGCGGCCAGCATGCTTGGATCAGAACACAAAAGAGGGTCGCGGCCTAGAATGAGGGATGTGCATTCGTCGCTGATGGCATGACAACGGCTAAAGTAGCATCCGTCGTGAGAAATAATGCTTCTGAGATGTCCCCTTGCGGCCAGCGTACTTTCTTTTGAACCGAAAAGAGGGCGTCAACCAAGGATGACGGCTCTCCATACAAGGCAGCGTACATGAGGATGTCTAGAGTAGCAGCAGTCGTGAGAAATCACACTTCTGGAATGCCCCCGTTCGGCTACCATACTTGCCTTAGATTAAAAAGGGGGACCTCGAACGTAGAATGAGGGCTCAACGTGTATGGCTGCGGACATGACGGTGGGAAATTATCCTTCTGAAAGGTTCACTTGCGGCCAGCATATGTACATTGGAGCAGAAAAGAGGACCTCAGCCTTGAATGAGGGCGAGCGTATACAACTGCGGACATGACGGTAGCTATAGCAGCAACACTCGTGAACAGAAGTAGCTCCGGAGTAACGTCTTGCGGCCAGCATATTTGCATAAGAACGGAAACAGAAACTTTCGCATAGAGTGACGACTCAACATGCACAGCAGCATGAGCGACTGTAAGTACAGCGGCAAGGTAGCGCTAGAAGCAAGTGTAAAAATGCCACATTGCAAACGGACGTGCCCCTGCATGAACACCATTCTACTGAGCAGCGGTCATCATTCTCGTGGCACACTCGACTTGAGAGATGTTCTCTTCTGGCAAAGAGACTTACAATAAGACGGAAACTGCATGAAAAGTGTGTGGCTTAGCAGCTTCATTATTCTCGTGACAACGTTTAGCCCAGAAATGTTCTCTTGCGGCCAGCAGACCTACACTAAAACAAAAACTGCGGAGAAACCACGTCACTCAGCAGCCTTGCTTTTCTCGTGACTAATGATACTTGAGGTGTGATTTCATGCGGCGAAGATAGAGATACATAAGAATGACGCGCGTACACACGACACGTGGCGCCTCAGCATCTGCTCGGTTCGTAACAAATTGTGCTTCACTACTGTACTGTTCAGGACAGCACACTTCCCTTACATCAAAAAACGAAGATTTTTACTCACAGTCACGACTCAAGGCAGTATACTTCATGAAAGAGAGGTCACGGATAAAACAGGTGGCTTGACAGCACTCGTTCTTCTCGTAGCAACTTATCCTTCTGGACTGTCCCCCTGCGGCAAGCATATTCACTCACACTGGAGCAGAAGCCGAAGAGACAGCAAGTGACTAGCCAGCATTCATTATTCTGAAATTACTGTTCAACGTACAATATACATACATATTTATATGTATATATGTATATGTATATATACATATATGAATCTAATTAGGAACGACGTGGAATAGTTGGTTCGCTACTAGCAATGACTGGATCACCGAGTACGGTCACACAGAGCACATGACAGCAGCGGAGTTGCTTTTGCTGCAGCAGCAGCAGCAGCAGCGAATGCTAGGGCCTGTGAGTGGATCCTGTTCTCTCTGTGCATATGCATACACACACTATACATACACTAGAACACTACTGCTTTATACCTATATCAGGCGAATGATAGCTAGCCGTGTGTGCGACTTCTATCAAAAGTACAACCGCGCATTCGGGCACGCATCTTCTCGCATTATGTACAGCGGTGTGAGTACGGCTGCCGTCTGCTCAGGGATGAAAATATCCGCATGTGTATAGCAGCCGTGTACACATGTACATGATGTCGGATGGAATCTCCATTGTGAGCGCACATTCCCATCAGCAGCCTTCCATGCCTGCTTACTTATTTAAAAATGTGCATAGGGGCAGTACACATGCATACCTGCTGCGATTCACGCCGCTACGGGCACAAGGGCATCGGAATAGTCGCGCGCTCGCTGTCTCTCCTACGACGTGCGTGGGCGGCCTGTAGAGCGAAGCTCCGCTATGTGCGCTTCTCTAACTGCGTCACTCGTCTGCCTGTCATATCTTCACAACTACAAGCCTAGATGCCCTATAAACTCACACGTATGAACAGAAGCTCCGCTATGCACTTTCTCCTAGTATGTCTGCCCGCGCGCCTGCTATATCCTCAGAAATACAGGCTTGGATGCCCTATACGCGTACACGTGTGGACAGAAGCTCTGCTATCCAATAGTGGTACTCCCGTGCGGGTTCTACACGCATGAATGCTTAGGTGCAGTATGCACGTTCTTCTTGCGGCAGAAACTCCACTACACGCAAACTCCCACCAAGGAAGCTCCGCTGCCTGCCTAATTTCACACGCGCCTGCTGAGGAGCCCTGCACACGTACAGGTCTGAACAGAAGCTCTATAACGTCTAAAATACTCTACCAGTAGCGGCGCGTGGAACTTGGAAGGCTGAGCGAACATGGATGTAATTACGTTCTATATTACCTGCCGCTTTGTAATTTCAAAATTCACTATATTATCACAGAGACGTGCATAGGTGGCCGCACGTACGCCCACGACGAGAGATCTAGCTAACAGAAACCAATTATCTGGCCGAGGAATGTGTGCTTTACACTGCTTTGTCGCTGCGACCTGAGAGTCTCTCTTTCTCTCTCTTTCTTTCTGTCTTCCTTGCTCTCTTTCGTTTCCTTTCTCTCTTTTTCTCTCGCACTGTCTGTAGTTGAAATGCATGCGAAGTGCGTATCAACAGTTGTTACAGCGACGAAACAGCGAATTGTTCATTAAATAGAGGGAAAGCTGGATCTTCGAGTCGCTGTCGCAGCGGCAGCAGCAGAACCTCCGCTGCTGTGACTGGCTCTTGCTCCTGGTGCACCGTCTTAGCCGACGTGTCACCCTCCTGTGGTCATTTGATCCTTTTCGTGGATTGCATTTTCTCCCTCTCAAAAACGCTGCAGTAATAGCCGCGGCCGGTAGTATCTGCAGCAGCGCTACTGTTAATTTTTGCTCCCTGGTACACACGCAGGGACCCACACACGCCAGTATGCTGCTGGTCCTCACGTGTCTACAGTGATCCGATCCTTCGCTTTTTCCGTGAAAACGCAGGCGGTCTGCAGGAGGAGCACGGTCCAGCTCGTCTTGTCGCTTCCTCCGTCGGTCCTCCTGCCGAAAACGCCTTCTCGAAACGTGTTTCCGGCTCTTCTCGGGTATGTCTACGGCCGCCGTTACGGTGTTGTAGACGCCTCGCCTCCAGAACGTATGCCACAACCTCTACCTTCCCCACTCCTGGCGTGAAGCCGCACCTCTAGTGTGAAGCCGCACTTGCTGCGAGAGAACCTAAACAAATGATTACGAGTTGCTGTCAACGGTCGGCCCTGCTGCTCCAGCGCTTTTTCTCACCTGCATAGTTGCACAACCGGAACCCTTTGTGGAAGCTACCGCTGCGTAGTACGTGCGGCGACCAGTTTCTCTGCAAGAAGGGTGACAGGGGCAAAAAGTTCCTTTCTTTTCTCTCTCTGGAGCGTGAGAGTGCAGCATGGCAATTTTAATTCCACTCTATAAACTGTGACAACGCGGTCTCGTCGCGGCTGTGTCCCCGCTGCTTCGTCTCGAACAGTCATAGTGCTCCAACACCTCTCGACGTGAAGGCTCTGCGCTGGAGAAGCCGCAGCTTGTGCCGCTGAGCAAACTGCTGCCCACGTACTCTTCACTGATCACGCATGTGCGCGAAAAAACCATCATCTCGGCTATGCGACTTTGTCTGAATGGCCCCCCTCCGCTGTTGCTGCTAGTCCATAGGATCTCACCCGCCGTCTGCGTTGTTTTGTGCTGCTGCTGCTTCCAATAGACGCCGTAGCTTCTGCGTCACCGAACAGAAAGCATGCTGTCCGTTAATGTACAGGTAAACAGCCTGTATCTTTTTCCCCTGAATAAAACTGTCTCGACGGGTCTGAAGCACACCTCAAGCCCCGGGCGCCCTCCGACTTTTCAGCTTGCTCTCGAGTCAACGTGTGCTGTAGGTGGCAGCGAGCACGACGCCTACTACATGAGTTGCTAAACTGGATACGACGCGCAGCTGCTTTTGTCGCGAACGCTGCTGCGCGAAGTGCTACTTACTCCTACGTTCCTTTATATATGTAACCGGAGGGCTATCCTGCTGCCCGCCGCGGGCTTCGATGCCTCGCACTTTCATTCCATTGTCCGCACGTCTGTAGCAGTGGCTCCGGCGACTCTATGCGCAATGCTGTCCCCCTCTGCACTCTGTAACAGTGGTACCGGCTGCATAGGTGGCCACCCTAGGCGGCATTTTCCTGTCACGTCTACTTTGCCTTCCACAAGCCCTGCCGCATCGCGTTCCACGCATCTGTGCTGGCCGCCCCGACCGCATTTCAGGGTCAGTGTCACGGCAAAGGGACTCATCTGCAGCACACAGATGCCAATCTGACTTATAGGTGCTACGTAGGTACACGTCTGTGCGCAGCATACGTGGGTTTTTTCTTTACGGACACACCACCAAGGTGCTATCACATACAACAAAAGCATGTTTACTCTTGCCGCGTACCTGTACGGTACGGTACAGCTAGGTATACTCATTCGCACACGTAATATGTACAGTAGTAATATGGTATACGGCGACGTACCACGCGTGTGTGGATTCTACATGTCTGGTTCGCTTCGTGTAGGCACACACGCATGCCCGATCACACAGGAGGTACACCCCGAGACGCCTAGGTCCCTATGTCCCTGTATCTGCTACCGCAGGCAACGGCGAATATACTGATATGTCAGTGTATGCTGCCCGCCGTGGAGACACACCGAGAACAAGCAGTGTGACAGCAGGATGTCGCAAGATACACAGAAAGTTATTGCTTTCTTTTACACCGATCCACACAGCAGGGTTGCGAGAGATAGGCAGAAACTGATTACTTCTTCCTACACCGACCCACAAGTGCGCGCGTACACCGGCGGCAAGCGTAATTCGTAGGCGTCGCCGCGTAGGATGCTGTATCATATTGTTATGTGAGATGCGTCTGTGCACGAAGGAATGTACCGCAGTGTTCTGTACGAATGCATTCCTGCACAGGGCACATAGGTCTGCCCTCTGCAACCCGGGCACTGTCATCTGCGTGAAGGCACAACGCAGGCCTTATCGTACACCAAGCAAATCTGCGAACGTAGAGAAACAGTTGCGAGGACACATAGAAATCGGCCACATTCTTCTACGCCTATCCACGCGTGTACACATACACCGGCGGTGTCAGTAGTCGGTAGGCATATCCGCCGAGAAAACATAACTCCGCAGTATGTACTCAAAGAAGAGATGCATCGGTACGTGCGTGAGTCGTCGACGACAGGCTCTGTACAAAGACGTATGAAGTACCCGCTTGGACATCGGCACTGGCGCATACAAGGTACGTACACATACGCTTGCACACGCAAGAGCGTCGACATGGGCATATAAACCAGCTATAGAAGTACAGCTAAGGGGTGCACAAATGGAACAGCTGCGTGGTCTAATACGTGTATAATAAATGTCTATTGTCAAGCAGCATGTCGGCTTCTTTTTCTGTCTATCACTATATAGATAGGCACACGAATAAATCTGACTATAAATGTGTCGGAGAGCGTCTGCTGTGCGCGCGCCTACATAGCGTGTCGCATCGTCTGTCTATAGGGCTACGAAGACGAGTGTAGTACGCGCGTTCCTCTACACCTCGTGTGTATGTATCTCATCACGCATATTACGTCACCTTTCGATTGTCTGTGTTACGTGCATCGTTTTTTGTAAGCTGCGTAGCAGTGCCACGGTAGTGGTCAAGCATCCTGCGGGAGGTCTTCCGATACAGAGGAGAAAGGCGTACTAGGCTGCCAGTAGAGCGGTGAGCTGTTCTGTCTACACTACATATATACAGATGGGAAAGTCCACCATGTATGTATGTGGAGTGGAGCATGTAGAAGTACGCCGCTTTATAAATTAAGACATCGAAAATGCCACCTTACCACCTGACAGTCGCCAAAAAGCGTGAATACCACCTGCTCTGCTACCGAGATGGGGGGTGTCCATCACAGCCGAATTGAGGCTGCCCAAAGAGAATTTTATCGTCTTTGCTTGTTTTGAAAATGAGAACTAGAGTACTGCGGTATCCTTGGAATTTCACACGTATTCTCGTCTTATCTGGCTCTGTGAAAGGTAACGCAGAAGAACAAGCCCAGACATCTACTAATATGACAACCGCAGCTGCAACAGTAGCAGTGGCAACAAGAACAGCAGCAGCACCAGCAGCAGCAACAAGAGTAGTGAAGCAGCAATCATGGCGTGGTGTTGCAACTGGTCACCGCTAAGTACTGAAAAGGCTAGTACGAGGACGGTTTGTTGGGAATGAGCAGCAATAGAAGAGCGGTGTAGATGGACTCCAGTACCGTACGAGAGCAGCGGAAATGTAGCAATGTGGAAGCAGCAGGGCAAGAAGATACTATGCTGAGCGCCCTATATATAGCTCTCTCTACTCGCATGTGGAAAAAGAGAAAGGTAGCGGCAGCGGTCCACGGCTAATGGCAGGGAGGTACTATGCTGAGTATGTAGAAGATACACATATACATATGTATATACATATATATATATATATATATAGATGAAGAAAGAGGAAAAGACGGTGGCAGCAGCAGTCCACCACAAATGGCAGGACAGTACAATGCTGCGTATTCCAAAATACCTTTTTTTCGTGGACAGGAGAGAGTAGTTGTACCGCAAGTGTACAAGCGCATAAATCATGGCAGCACCCTCAAACACAACAAACACCAGCACAAATGAACGCAGCATGATAGTAGCCAACAAATAGCAACACCATGATGGCAGCGTCGCAGCAGCGAAAAAAAGTTGCGGCACCATGCCGGCGGTGCAGTAGCGTACAATGGCAGCAGAATGACGGCAGCACAGGGGAACACCGCA